GCGCCCCGAGCCTCCAGCCGCAGAGCCTCCCCGGGCGCCGAGCCTTCCGCCGGCCGAGCCTCCCCGCGCCCATCGCAGGTACACACGAAAGGGCTGGATTTGGTGTTTGCTTCCTAGCGAGACGCAGTTTGTTAACCTTGTCGGTCTAGGTAGACGGTCTTTTCGCCGACAGTTTTTCTTCACCGAGACTTCCACGCCGGCCTGAGTGAGTCCTGGTCCTCGTCGAATTCATGTCGTCGCGGTGGCGACAGGACCCGCCTTGCGGTGGTGGGGAGTTTGATCCGGAGAGTCTTGGCGATGCAAAATAAGGTTCCTCCTGTTACTCTTTTTTTTTATTGCCTCCTAGCTAGGACTGGATGTTTAAAATTTTGCACATGACCTTTCCAGCATCTGCTGAAAGTAATTTTGCTCTCTTTTGTTAAGAGTAGGAAATTTCTTAACACTAAGTCTCTCATGTTCCTAAAAGAAATCCAGTGTGGTTATTACTGGTTTTTAAAAATATGTACTACCGGATTCTGTTCGTTGATGGCACAGAAATTATATGCCGCAAACAGTGATGAAATAGGTCGACTTTTAATAAGTTTGATGGCAAAAGGGTTGGGTCATTTCGGGTTTTTGCTGTAGTATAAAAATGTTCATTACAAAAACGTTTTACTTTTACTGAAATTATTTTGGCAGTTATTTTCCTCAAAATTGCCTGTCTTTTCAGTATTTTCAGTGTTTAAGATCGAGCAGGTGTGTGTGTTGTCTTTAAGAAAAAAACAAAACCCTGCATCTCCAGCTCCTAGCTTCTTATCTTCAGTTGCTGGGGTTTTTAACTTAATCAACTGGAGTTGTAAATGTGTTTAATCTACTTTTATTTTTCAGAGATAGCTAAGAATTACCACGTTTTTATTTTCCCTTGACACTGGAGCAAACTAATCAAATTAAACTAATCAAATTGATTAAGCTAATCAAATTTGTACATCATCCAACATCGAATATGAATATTAAAGATAGAATTGACATCAAAATTACGTAGATCTCACCCATAGTATATTGAGAAGGTGAAAATTTTAAGTTCTGTCTATACTGCACATACAGAATATACTGTTAAAGAAACAAAAGGAAGTAAAAGGGAAGAAAATTTGTCATCCAGAATGCTGGCTAAAAAATGTTCCTCCCATTAGAGATGTTGTTCAAATTTAACCATCCACCTGAGAAACAAATACCACAATTTCTCCCTGCCCCTTTTTAAACCACCTCAACACTACACCACCTTTTCTCTATGACCTAACTAATCTACTCCTCTCCTGTTTAATTAAAATAGACCCTCTGTCTTGCAAAGCCTCCTGGGCAATGGATTGCACACATTTCTGCCTCTTCTTGAAAATTGTTCATTTGTTCTTTCCTTCCCTCTCAAGACATATTTCTCTTTTTTTATAATCTTTTTTTCTTTTTTTAAATTGATGTGTAGTTAGTTACAATGTGTCAGTTTCTGGTGTACAGCACAATCTCCTGGTCATGCATATACATACATATATTCATTTTCATATTCTTTTCATTGAAAGTTATTACAAGATATTGAATGTAGTTCCATTTGCTATATAGAAGAAATTTGCTTTTTATCTATTTTGACATGTAGTGGTTAATATTTGCAAATCTCAGATTCCCAAATTTATCCCTTCCCACCCCCTTTCTGCTGGTAACCATAAGATTATCTTCTATATGTCTGTGAGCCGGTTCCTGTTTTGTAGATGAGTTCATTAGTGTCCTTCTTTTTTTTTTTTTAGATTTCACTTATGAGTGATGTCAGATGGTATTTTCTCTTTCTCGCTTACTTCACTGAGAATGACAATCTCTAGGTCCATTCATAGTGCTGCAAATGGCATTACTGTATTCTTTTATGGCTAAGTAGTATTGTATAAATATACCACATCTTCTTTATCTAGTTGTCTGTTGATGGATATTTAGGTTGCTTCCATGTCTTGGCCATTGTAAATAGTGCTGCTATGAACACAGGGGTGCATGTATCTTTTTGAATTAAAGTTCCCTCTGGATACATGCCCAGGAGTGGGATTGCTGGATCATATGGTAAGTTTATTTTTGTTTTTTTGAGGAATCTCTATACTGTTTTCCTTAACCAGACTACATTCCCACCAGCAGTCAATGCCTATTTCTTGAGCCCTTAGCATGTGCCAGTCACAGGACAGGGATTTGAGGCATATATCATAAGTTAAATGATGAAGTCTGCTTAGCAGTATTTTATATAAACATTTCAAAATTCTGTTTACGACAATACAATATTTACATAGACACAAGGCATACTTTCTGAAAAAGAGATGATAAAATTATCTTACTAATTAACTATATTCCCAGCCTGTAAAAGAGATTCAGTTAACATCAATGAGTTTTTAGAAAAATGACTGGAAAGAGGGTATATGTTAACGTATTGCTTAACTGTCCTCAATAACAAGTTTGCACAAAAGAAAGTCTATTCACAACAGGAAGAAGATACCTAATATTAATTTTAACTAGAAATATACCTGAATTATATAAGAAAACTTTAAAACATTCCTAGGAGACAAAGTGAGAGTAAAGGATGAGTAAGAATGAGAACAGTTCTGTTTATGGATTAAATTCAGTTGTTAACAAAATGTAACTGGGATTTTCTTTTTTAAGAACCCCATATACTTTGTTGTTTACTTTTAATATTCATCATCTTAAAAATGTTGTGGTAGTGGCTCATTCCTTTTCCTTTTAAATTTTTTTAAACTTTTCTTTGTTTTTTTTAAATTTATAAAATTAAATTTTTTTTTAGTTTTGGGGGAGTTAATTAGGTTTATTTATTTGTTTAAATTATTCCTTTTAATGGAGGTACTGGGGATGGAACCAGGACCTCATACATGCTAAGGATGTGCTCTGCCTCTAAGCTATACCCGCTCCCCTTTCTTTTAATTTGATGAAAAAAATGTTTCTGTTAACGGAGAAATACTCCTAGAAATGACAGGTTTCCTTGGTTTTCATCACTAATTCAAGCTCTGAAGGCTTAAATAGCATATGGTTTAAAATTCAGGTTTTTAAAATTTTTATCTTAAGGAAAAAGAAGTTTCATATTGTAATATCTCTGTTTTGCTTACAACACGGTCCCACCTGCGGGGCTCCTTGTACGTGACTCCTGTCGGCCTGAGTGCTTAGATCTTCTGGCTGTGAAGCAGGGTCAGCACTGGTGTGGTGGCCAGGCTGCACCAGCATCTCTGACTTAGAACCAACACCAGGAGCATCATTTTGCCTCTTTCCACACCTTTCTGTTATCTCATTCTTATCTATAAAAGGTCCACGTTTTGAACATTTAGCTAAGTTAAAAGAAGTTGCAGTGAATACTTGTAACCTCCCCCTCCAAGACTCTACCGTTAATGTTTTGCTGTACTAGTTGTAACATGTATCTGTCTGCCCCTTTCTTCATCAGTCCATCTTTTTTTGGGATGCATTTCAAAGTGAATCACAGCCATAAGTATGCTTTCCCTAGATAATTCAGAATGCACGTGCACCATTAACTAGATTTCAGTATTTGTTTAGCTTTTTCTCTTGTTGCGAAATTTCTGTTAAATGAAATGTACAACACGAGAGGGTACATTTGCTGGATTTTCACAGATGCATGATCTCTGCCTTTTGTGTCTCTCTTCGGTCTTTGCCATTCTGCTGGCCCCAGAGTTGTCCCTCTGTGGCTGCTGGGCCCTTTTGTTGGTCATTCCTGGTCCTTCACAGATGCCAGTACCAATGAACTTACTCAGAATCTGAAGGGTCCCATTCTCTTTTACAGAATCACATACTCCACATGCCTGAGTGAAATGCTGTCCCTGACAAGGTCTTGCCAGTCCCTGGAGGGTGCTGGCCCTCAAGCACTGGGTCTTCAAATGGAGACCTGAGGGCAGACACCTGGGCAAACAGACAGGTTATCACTCAGTGTTCGACAGATGCCAGAGTGAACAAATATGAAGTACAAAGCCCTGTGCTAGCTTCCCTCCAGGATTTAGAATGAGATTATCCCAGTTCTCAAGTGGCTCTTCATCCCGTAGAGAGGTGGACAAACAAGCAGTGGTGTCCGAGGCAGTGCTGGGATGCTGCAGTGAGGGCAGAGTGCTCAAGGGCTTTCTCTGGGACAGTGGGAAGGCTTTCTGGGAAAGGTGGCATTTGACTGAGGCTCAGAGAGCACAGGACAAGTGCAGTAGGATCAAGGTTGAAAGGCTGTCAGGGCCCAGGATATAGACGGTTGTGGAGCCTGAGACTCAGTGACGTGGTCAGAGCTGTGCGTGGAACCTTGTGCCTCAGATGGTAAGTTCCATGGCTTCCTTGCTGGAACTTGAAGCTCCTTTCAGCCCGTCTCTGCCTGGTGGTAGGCGGAATAACAGCTCCGCATGGATGCCTGGGCGTAACCACCAGAATCTGTGGATGTAGCACCTCACTGGCAAAAGGAACCTTGCAGATGTGATTGGACTAAGGACCTTAACACAGAGATTATGCTGGACCGTTTGGGTGGGCCCAGTGTAACGGAAGTCCTTCAGAGTGGAGCAGGGAGGCAGAAGGTGAGAGTCGGGGGGAGGCGTGAGGACAGAAGTAGGCACAGGGAGAGGCGGCCTTGCTGGCTTCCTCCCTGACAAGCTTGGTCCTTCCATTGGAGCGTTGACCCCCTCCCCTCTTCCAGCCTGCTGTTACTGCCTTCCTCTCAGCCTACGGACTCGCAGACCTCCACTGGGACCCCATCACCTCTTCTTCCACCTCTGCCCTTTCTCTTCTCTTTTCACCAAACTCTTCATACCTGTTAGGGAATTTGTCTGCTGTTCCCACCTTAGTGAGCCCCTAGCGAGCCGGTCAGTGCACGAGAATCCCTCATCCCTCGAAAGTCTCTCTTCTTCCGGCTTCTGGTAACCTCTCTTCCACAGCGTCCTGTTGTCCGGCAGGTCTTTCTGTGCTTTCCCCGTGGGCTTCTTTTTCTCCTCTGTTTGCTTCCTAGATGTTAATGAGCCCCCTGTTTAACCCTGGTCCTACAGTTTATTTTACTCTTCGTGTTATTTTTGGTTGATTTGATATACTGCCACGGTTTCATCTGATAATGCCAGTAGCTGTCTTTACCAGATTTTGCTGTTTATTGGTGGGCTTTATTGAAGTTATGTCACAGTGTTGTTGAATGAACTACATGTCACCGGGAATGTGGTCTCCCTCAGACTCCTCTATCCATCTGCCTACTCCTCCTGCAGCTCATAGGACAGTCACTCTAAAATCCACGCAAAAGATCCATTCCCCCATCTCAAGACATTGTCCTGTTTGAGAACATAGCTCGTCACCTTGAGTACATACAGACAGAAAGGTGGGCAGTGGATCATACACCTGGTTAACCTTACTTCTGAATATGTCCTGCTGGGCGTCCCTTTTCTGGCTCACTCACTGTGTTCAAAACCACTGTCATTCCTCTAGTACCTACTCCCCCAACACGATTGTCCGTTCAGTCACCTGGAAACCTAGGAGTCATCTTTAACCCTTAACCTGTCTTCACATCCACATTCAGTCAATTCCTGGGACACATCAGTCTTTTCCAAAATCTGCCTGCTCCCGATTGCTACCCACCACAGCCCTAATTTGTGTTCCTGTCTTCGGGACAACAGAAGATACGTGTTCTCCTACCTGGTTTCTTTGCAGCTACTATAGCTTCCTTTCGTCCATCACACGGCTACCCCAAATGCAGAGAAGGCATTTTCAAGACACAAACGTATTATCATTCCCTGGCTTGCAGCCTGCAAGCAGGAGTCCGTGTTTCTGAGGGTGGCGACGCTGTTTCCAGCTGCTCCCTGCCCTGCACCACATTGTCTCGGGCCCTGCCTTTGTTCACAGGGTTCCCGCCTTGTTTATCTGCCTGGACTTAGCCTCAAGACCACCACCAGGCTGTGGTAGATGCCGTCTTTCATGCTCCACGGCAGTGGGTCAGCTGCTTGAGGGCAGGGATAAATACTTCACTCACGTTTTGTCTCCTGGGCCTGGTACAGAGCCAGTAAGTGCTGGGGGATGATTTAGTAAAACGACAGAAGATCCACGTTTATAACTTCAAGATAGTTATCAACTTACCTGCTGTTTCCTTAAAAACAAAAACTCACCCCAGCATCCCTACTGTGGCAACACCTGTTGTTACGTTAGAGAAATCAGTTTTGGCCAGTTGCATATATAGATCCTTTGTGTATCTGGTGACTGATTATAAAGGATCTGATCACCCCAAGAAATGGTAGAAACTGAGAATGTAAGTAGATTA